CCCTCCCAGCAGTGCCATCTGCTTCTGGGGACCCTCTGCACCACCCCCTGCCTGTCTTCTCTGAACCACTGCTCAGCCCCTGGCAGGCCTGTCCTCCGGTGGTGGGCAGTTCTGTCCCCAGAGATGTCCAGGGCCCCTCACCCCGTGGAGGTGATGCACCCAGCGAGTCCCTGGATTTCCCAGGAAGGCTGGCACAAGGGTTTGGATGCACGTGGTTAAGCAAGTCCTGGCTCACTGCCCCAGCTGGGGGGGGAACCAGGCATCTGGCAGTGGGGGTACCTTATCCTCTGCTATGAGGGGCTTCATCTTTACTTGCTGGACTGGAGCTGTGGGCTCATTCAGGGCCGGCAGGCTTCCTTCTAATAATGGTTCCTTATTTTTCTCCTTTTTCAAGGTAATCTCTTTCCTGCAGCTAATAAACACATATAAAATATGCAATACATCAAAGAAGAAATACAATGGTCACGAAATACCCCAAAATGTTCAATTTCATTAGTAACCAAAGAAGTACAAATTAAAATGGCTACAAGAGGCCACTATTCACTTGTTTTTCATAAAAGTTTTAAACTTCCTTGATAAGCCACACACACACCTCCCAGATTTACACGTCTAGCCCACCCCCTCTTCCAGACCCCAGACTCAGGCATCCGGCTACTAATCTGACATCCTGACCCACGTGTTTCACAGGCAAACCTTTGTTCAGATCTGAACTCCACTCCACAGAGAGAGACAGAGCTGCTTCCCAAGCTCAGCGACATCCGAAGGCCCCTGAGCGCCCAGCCCCTGCTCCCTGGACTCCACCTTCCTGGAAGGTGCGGGCTTCCCTCCCCTTCCCAGGCCCCCACCGCCCTCCACTCAGGACGGCCAGCCTGGCAGCTGCCCTCACACAGAAGGGGCTGGTGAGTAATAAACTGCCGCAGGCACTGTCCCCCGGGGCTGAGGGTCCTCCCAACACCCTGCTGTTGGCCATGGGGAGAAGTGGGGGCCTGGGGCTTGGAGGGCAGTGCCAGGGTGGCCAAAGTATTCCATCTTTACAGGCGAGCCTGTGTCACACTGAGAGCAGAGATCCAACAGCCGCAGGACGCCCCATGGCCGTCAGCAAAGCGTACCTTGCCTGCTCCATCTCACCAAGGAACGTCTGCCCGACCACCTCTTCATGGTAAGCAGCCGCCTCCTGCAGCTTCAGATCGGAGGAAACCAGGGCAAGTCTAGGGGAGGCGCAACCAGGAAAGTCAGTGCTGCTGCAAGGGTCCCGTAGCCCAGGCGGGCTGCCCGCGCTCAGAGGGCTTGATGAGACGCAGTAAACAAGAGAAGAAATGTATTATTTGGTAATATTTTCAATGATCTTTAAAGCTAAGCAAAATTACTAAGAAAAAATAGCAGACTCTATCAGATTGCAGGTAGAAAAATGAACATTCATCCACATACTTTACTCAGTACACAGGTATAGTCTCAGGTCACCTTCAGGGGTGCAGCTAAGAGCCCCAGCACAGCTTCAAGCAGAGACTCTCTGCTTGCATTCTTGGGTAAAACGATTTTATTTTGAAATGATTTCAAGCTTACAGAAAGTTGCTCACACACTGCAGAGAATCACCACACATCCTTCCCCAGGTTCCCCCAACGCAGACCCCCATATGTGCCCACTCCCCCCCTCCACCACCACAGTGTATTTTTGCTGAGCTATCTGAGAGTAAGTTGAAGACTCATGCCTCTTCATTCCAATGCTGCAGTGCCTGTATCCTTAGAACACTGCTCTCTAAAGGACCAGGTAGAAATTTTAAAATAAAGATACTTTTTATGTATTTATTTTGATTTATTTGGCTTTACGGATCTTAGGGACTTTATTATTTACACAAATAGGCAACTGCAGTGTTAATGATAAAAATACTGTCTGTTTTTCTATTTCTTTGGGGAAAATTTCACATTAGCTACTTAAACATTCCCACTTTCCCTGAAAATAAAGCAGGTATACCAACCGGAGGTGGTAGAGATCTTGGAGGCTCTTGCTTTCTACCACAGAGGCTGAAATTAATACACCCAACTGCAGGACGGGGACCGTGAGCTCATGAAGGGACATCTTCTGCAAGGCCTTGACCAGGTGGTCCAGATAGTATAGACTGTGTGCCTGCATGAACACATAACCTGTGTGAGGTCCGAGGGGGGAGGACGGGTGGGCCACGGCAACGAGGCTTTTCTTCATGGAGCCCTGCGCACAGTGCCAGGCACAGCGCTCGCCCCGCGCCCCCTCTGTTCTCTCACTAATGACGCCCGTCTTGTTGGGCGCAACACCCGGAATCATCCCAGCCACGTGCAGTTCAGGGTTCCTACAGGAACAACCCACTTATGTGCTCACTCAAATTAATGTTCTTCTTTTATTTTTTTCACTCAAAACTACTGACCCATTAAAAACAGAATTTACGTACACATACAACTGCTTTAAGATATAATAAATAGAGAACTAATGCTGCTTATAATCTTGGACTAGGTGTGAAAAAAAGATTATTCCTCAGTGGAAAAACTGGATGAACTGTTTTGACAATCTGCTTAAGGGGACTGAGGAGTGAACAGTGCTGGGAAATTACGGGGCCCTGGAAGGAGGCAGGCGCCCAGAGGAGCGGGCCCCGCACACTGCGGACGTCTGTCCTCGGGGGCTCAGCTGATTGAGGACGTGGCTGGCAGGCCCAACAGTTCTTCTCATTTCTTTTTGCAGGATGGAGACAAAAATGAGACCTCCGTGCCCATGGGGGCCCCACAGGGCTGGGGAAGGGCCATCCAGTGGAGAGCTGCCTTCTCAGCACCCTATGAAGCCCAGGGGCATCTGGGTGGCCTGGGAGCGTGTGGTCCTTTGAGACGCTGATAACTGACAGCTCGTGGTGAGCAGGATCGGGGGCGAGGGGCAGAGGGGGGACAGGAACCCCCGCAGGCACCACAGACACCCGCAGACGGTGAAAGGCTGTTCAGAACACTCCATGCCAATGCATTTGCAATTTTATACTAAATGGGAACATCCTAGAGAAACACAACGCACCAAAATTATTACAAGAAGAAATAAAAAATCTGAAGAGTTCTATACCTGTTAAATACATTGGATTCATAATTTTAAATCTCCCTATAAAAAGATCTAGGCCCAGAAGTCACCACCAGTGAATTCTTCCAAACATTTAAGGGAAAAATAACTAATCTTATATGAACGCTCCCCAAGAACAGTTTTTTAAAAAGGTGACCCTTCCTAACTGACGGAACAATCAGTGAGGTGTAGGGACACAATAAGAAGACAGACCAGTCTCTGCCCCTGCCCCTGGCCCAGAGCTCCTACGCCCTTGGAATCTGGTTACTACCCAGCCCCTCAGGACAGGAAGGCGGGACAGGGCTGGTTACCCAGGGACCAACCACACCGAGCGCCCCACCCCTGACGTGGGGAGGGGAGGGGCGCAGTCAGAACCCCCAGTGCCCGAGGGTTTAGTCAACGTTACTGCCTCATCTCAGAGCCTCCACAGAACCCTAAAGGGAGGGTTGGGAGCGTCCAGGTGGTGGGCACCCCACACGGGGAGGGCGGGGTCCCTCAAGTCCACCTGGCAGAAGCTCCTGGGCCCGGGCCTGTTTGTCTGCATCCTCCATTGCATCCTCTGTAATAACTGGCGATCTAGTCGGCAAGCGTGCCCCAGAGTTCTGCGAGCCCTCCTAGCAGACTGCTGAACCCTAGAGGGGTCACGGGAACCCCCGGGGTGCAGCCACGTCAGACAGTGGCCTGGGGACCCAATGCTGGCAATGGACAGTGTCAGGACTGAGGGCTTTGGGAGGGCACCCAGCTGGGGTCCCAAGACCCGTAGAACTGGACATCGGCATGGAAACCCCCACGTCTGGAGTCAGAGGTGGGAGCTGAGAACGGTTCAGTCAGCCTGACTGTACTAATCCTGACAGGTGCATAGTGCGGAAGGAAAATTAAACACCAGTCTTTCTCATGAACATAGAGGCGAACTCCCCAAATGAAAGAGCCAGTTGAATATGATGATAAATAAGGTGAATAATGCATCTCCTCCAAGTTGACTTTATTCTGAAAATCATTAGAAAAAAATCAATGTAATTAACTGAAAGAATTAAGGAAAAAACGATTTCATTTGAATAGATGGGAAAATATTTGATAAAAATCTGTAGCCATTCTGGATTAAAACTTTTTGCAAATAAAAATAAAGGAAACACTCTCAATCAATAAGGAATATCAATAAAAACCTACAGCAAACATCAATTATACCTAACAGTGAAAGGCTGAAAACTCTCCCTTGAGCTAGGGGGCAGGGGCAGGACGTGGGGTGCCAGCACTTGTGCTCAGGGTTGTGCGGGAGCCCCGCCCAGCAGAGCGAGCAGGGCAGGGAAACAAGTGCAGCGATTAGAGGTGAGAAAGCGAAACACTGTTGCGTACACACAAGACCCAAAACAATCTGCAGACAAAGCACAAAAATTATTAAGAGGTTAACAAAATAGATGAATGAGGGTGAAGATGAAAACATATCTCTGTATTTTGTCTGGAGTTAAAAAATGAAAAAAAAAATTTAATAGCACAAAAAATACCTAATACATAGAAACAAATCTAACAAATGCGTATCCTCCAGACAGAAAACTCAAAACCAGTTATCAGAGGCAGCCGGAGAACACCCAAGTGGACAGAGCGCGCCCGTGGGCCGGAAGACTCGATGCGGCAGAGATGCCGGCTCTCTCCCAAACCTCAACTCATCGAGGGGGCCAGTGCCACCGAACAGAAGCACCAGGCTTTCAAATGGACCCTGACAGGCTGTTTCTATGACACACACAGAAATGCAGTTCACGATCTTCCTGAAGAGTAGGTGGGGGACGCTGTCCACCGAACACTC